TGGCTGTCGAGGCTGCAGACAGTGTGAGGAGGAGGAGGGGGTGAGAGAAGGAAAAGATGTAGCAAGGCTAGGCAGGAGGAGGAGGTAGAAAATGCAAAGTTCTCTCTGCTGTATTGAGAATTATTGCTGTGCATTATGGTTGTCTGACAGTAATTCATTAAAAGGCTAATGATTTTTACATACTTCATCTAATATTTATTTGGGAAGTAACTTTTTCTCATATGACTGGTTTTAATTTTCCTTCTTGGGGTTGGAACAATTTGGTATTGAAACTGGGAATTCTCCACAAGCCTTCTTTTGTTGAAGGATGTTTTGAATAAGAATACCACATAATCTGTTACTTGTAAAGATTTCCTTGGAGTAGAAACACAGGTATTTTGTGGCATTTCTACTCTTCCAGGCCAATGTGAATATAGAGGTACAGTACTGTGGTATTTGTAGATGGTTGCTTATTATGTGGCCTCTCAATGATCTGTGTCAGCCACTATATCAGCCCTGAAACAGTGCAGCAAAGACCAAGACATACCTTATTTTGCCTTTTTCCTCCCCTGTCCCTTCTCACCATCCCATTTTCCTTCAATTTATATTCATAATTTTACTTCTCTGGGGATAAAACTGGATGTGGTGAAAGAAGACAAAAGCAGGGGAAGGATGGAGAAGTGAATGTCTGTGAGAGGGTGGAAGGGCAGAGGGGAATGACAAGACAGTAGTCCAGTGTCCGCATGAAATGGGAGTAGGGGACTGAAGATGCTATGCCAGTTTATGGCTACTCCATTCATCCCAAGTAAAACCAGATGTACTGATTTCAGTAACCTGTGGGGGTGCCTCTGGACGTAACCAGTATGTGGACCCCAGTGAGTTGGAATGAGGCCTTGTATCTTAAATGAAAAGCATTTACAAATTTGAAAAAGCATTGGTTTTGAGGACTGGGAATAGGCTCAAGATTTTCTTTATTTTATCCAAATTCTTTTTGTAAGCCACATATTTGGAAAAAAGAAAAATTACATTTATTAAAGGAATCTGAATTTAGCATTTGTTGGTTCAGTTTTTCCGTTATTAAAATGTGGATGCTGATGTATACAAAATGTATTTAAAAAAATCTGAAAACAGCCCGTGTTTTTTCTTTCAAGCAAAGATTTCTCCCTGTTTGCTTCTACTCCCAGTTTCTGAAGTGGAATTGAGGTAATGAAACCTTTATCAAAACATAACGTGGACTTACCTTAAAAACACACAAGAACAAAGGGATTCTTACAATACTGTGTTTATACTGTTGCTCTCACAACTGTGTTAGTACTATGTAGTCTGTCTGTCTTTGAGGAGAATTTGTTGCCAGGGAAAAGTGTTTGTTTTTTTTTTTTTAATGCTAAATTGTCGTTGATCTGCCTTTTTTTTTCTTTTTTGCATAATAGGTATAAATGACCAAGGATTGTACAGAGTTGTGGGGGTGAGTTCAAAGGTCCAGAGACTTCTGAGTTTGTTGATGGGTATGCTTCTATTTTACAATAATTTTTTCAATATTTTTTTCATGTTGTTTCACTGTCAATATTTAGTTTTAAAAGCATCTGCCTGTAGTTGTTCTTTATATGGGCCAAATCTCGTTTGCTTTACTCCATGCAAATAATCCCGTGTCATTGTAAATTCCCCTGGCTTAGCAAAACAAAGATTAGTTGGTAGGAATAAACAAAGAGAACTGCTATGGTTCACGTAGGAGCAAATCATGGACGTTACGCAAAGCTGATGTAAGTGGGATTAAAGCAGCCTAAGTTGAAGTGTTCGATCAGAAAATTCAAAACGCCAAATCTAAGAAAGTTTGAAGCTTATTGCTTCATTGTTTGAAGTTTCCACCTTTCTTCACCCTTGTCGAAGATGCACAGGTTTACACGCCCATGCGTGTCTTTAGTTAATCGCTCTGCAAAATAAGACAGTTTAAGCCTACTGGCAAAGAGCTCTTTGGTTTAAGAGGAGGAATGTGATCTATGTATTGATAACAACTGTGTGCCAAGGCGGAAGACAGATGGAGAAAGGATTTGTTTTTATAAACTTAGTAGTATAGCTCTTATATGTGAGTAACGTCTTAGACTCTCTTGTACCTAGTTAGCCATGTTTAGCTTTTAAGATCTTTTGATTCATAAAATTGTTCTCGGAAACTTTTTTCCCTATTTTCTTTCTGGAAATTTTGAGGCATCTTTAATCCCAGTGACTGTAGCTGTCTTGCCACTCTGCTGTCCCTAGGGAAAAAAATAGAAATGCTGGCACCTGGATGAAATCCCTCATCTGCCTGCTATCTCTCACCAAAGTAGTAGCCATGACTGCAAGATGTGCCGTATTTCCCAGTTCCTTGTCCTGAGCGCTGACAGTACATGCAGTCAGACAAGACCACTGGGATTAGTTCATTTTTATAGAGCTTCCAAACCTGTCACTTGACAGCAAAGGTCTGATTCTCAGGGATTCATTGGTATGCAAAGAAGCTTGTTTGCAGTTTGCACCAGGCTCTTCTCCAGAACCATGCATGCTCCATCTGTGCTGATAACACAGTGTTCTTTGGCACTGCAAACTGGAGGAAGCCAGAAAGTGAATTCATTTCATTACCCCAGACATTATGTGAATGACAAAGCGCTTTTATATTATATGCTGCTGTCAGTTCAGTGCCACCTGTAAGACTTTTTCTTTTCCTTCCTTTAGTTTTTCAAACAGACTGTCTCTTCAGAAATGCTAAGACATCAGGCTTGAGGAACTGTGTGTCATATCAATCTGTCATAATGACCTTACTAAATATTAATTTATGATATCTTACTTTAATCAATATTAACGGCACCCTGAAATTCTCCATTAGTGCACATAAACCTGCCTGTATCTTTAAAGTATTGTAGCAAAAGAATCTTTGGAAATACCAACTGGGATTAATAAAAATGACTGATCTATAACAGATTCTCATGGCTGCTTGTCTGTGGTGGAGTTAACCTCAGTAAATAATAACCATCTTCAGCCATTGACCATAGGAAGAACGACGTGTTATCACTCAGAGTCTCAATTAAATGCATTTATATCATAAGATGTTTTTCAGTTTTCTACTTATTGGCTTAGCTTGGGCGTGCAGGTCTGGCAGGCAAATATTCCTTTTTGCCATTAGTGGTATCCAAATTAAATAGACTCAGGTTGCCAGTGGTTCAGTAGCAGCTGGAAGAGTTTACTGGGGATTCCAGCATCTGGATTTAGTGTTTGTTTTTTTTTTTAAATTAGAAAAATTTTTTTGTCATTCCCAAGATTCGTATATTTATTAGAAGTAGGAAGAATACAGGGGTATCAAGATGAGGTAAAATACTGAAATGAAAGAAAGTGTAGGGTGCAAGCAGGTGCACTTTTTGTGATGGTTTGTTGAAAGCGCTCCTATCTGTGCTCTTTATCTGTCTGTCCTCGGAGAAGAATAAAGAGGTTTTCTTTTTGATATACAGTGATACAGAGAATTTAAAATGACTGATTAATCTTTAATCCTTTGTCTCTGGGTATACTCTTAGATATCCTTTTATTTGAAAGATCTTTTCAGAATCATAAAAACCTCACATTAACTTTCTGTATTTCAAAATGTTTGATAGGATTTCAAAGTTTTTGTTAAGCTACCTATCATTGACCATGAGGTTCACAGTCTGAAAGGCTCAGAGTGCAAAAAAAAAAGCCTTCCAAATGTTAACCAGGGACATAATAGCATGTAGTCTTGCCTCTTTTTTAGAATATTTTCTGTAAAATTTGGCAAAGTACGTTGAGAGTCAGGAGAGCATGAGAAGACCAATACATGCTTTTCGAATACTGTGCATGCACAGGTTTTCGTCTTTCATGTAAGAATCTAGTGAAATGAAGTCTTCTATAACATGAGGCTCAGCAATTAAATACACAATTAAAAAAAAATTAATTTTGTAATTAACTTAGTTCTTGAAGTTACTTGTAACTTCCACTGTGCTATGGTGATCTATTATGTAGCAATAACCTTATGTAAATTTAAGTGAGGTATTTGGTAAGGAAAACATCCATTATGTGTCAGGGGAAAATGTTAAATTACTCTGATATCTCAGTTATAAACAAGGATACAGAGCTAGGACTTCCAGTGTTGTGGGAATCTGTTATAAACAATTCAGAGTGTGTTGTCAGACGTCAGGAAGAGTCTATGTAATAGATTGGATGTGGCTAAATTCATACAAGCTGCCTACCTAGATTCTATACCAACTACTCCATAGGTCAGCTTTCATACAGACCCTTGCTCATGGTGAAGTGACTGCTAAGGACTTGAAGTTTCTGCTGATGAGTTCAGATTTCATTTCTGATGCTGCCTGGTGTGAAAAATGCCTGACATGACATGTTGTAAATAAAACCCAAAACTTTACGGTACCTTTGCCTTTTCAAACCAGCAGCTTTCAAATCAATTACAGATAGTACAGTGGGCATATTGCATATGAAAGCAGAGAGAGTCTCCTGCTAACCTAGGTCAGTGAACTGGACTGCTTTTATAAACTCTAGCTCCCTTATTGTCAGAAAAGTTTGCGTAAAATTTAGAGCTGATCTGTCAAAAGCTGTTCCATAAATGTGCACGGTTATTTTTATACGTGTAAAGTTGCCATTCAGTGCACAGTGGCTGCTATGTGAACAAGCAGCATGAAAACTAGTAGAGTCATTTTTGAAATCCCAGTTGACGCTCCAGTTCATATGGCCTGCGATGTTTGAGATAGAAGGAAAAATGGAGCAGGAACAGTCAAATATATGGGATGGTGGAGCACAGAGCTAGGTAGTGCAACTGTCAAACCAAGAAGTGAATAAAATGTCTTTTAAGTCTTCTTGATGGCTTCTACAGTCAAACTCGGGATTGTTTTGGGTTGTATCAGGGCTGAATTTTGCTGTTTGGGTTTTTTGTTTGTCCCAAGACATAATGATACTTAAGAAATACCTTCTGCTTTTTAAGAGGCTTGCTTTGGAATTCAAACGCTTGTTATATTCCTCCACAAATTCATCAACAAATTTCCGATAACTAAATGCATCCTTTGACTGTAAAGGAGGTTGATGATTATGAAGCTATTATGTAAAAAATGGATATTACATAGTTGTTTTGGAGTAAAATTCCCATAGATTTCACTAGCTTCTGATGTGACGGCAGTTTTTATTTAATTAATTAAATAGAAAGATTTTCTTCTCAAAAAAAAAAGAGGAGAATTTGAACACAGAAACAGCTAGGATGCTAAAAACAGGAAAATGATTTTTCCTGAGACAATCTTGAGTATTTTGGGCAGTCGTTGGCTAGTAACAATTTGGTAGAAAATGTTATCTGAGTTGCATTTTAAAATGAGATTTTAATAATTGATATAATGAGGGAGAATATTCAGTTACAGAAATAATTGCTTGGCACAGCCTTTAGAACAGAATTATTTAGTCCCAGTAAAAGGACTGCTCCTTTAATCAGGGATCCTAATTTGATTTTTTTAAACGTGTCTCTCGTTTCTCTGACAAGCAAAGTAACAAATGAATTCTGAATTGTATGAACTGGTCAACACGTAATCTGTGTCAGCTACTGCTGCAGTTTTACTGTAGTGACTGATGGAAATGAGGCAGTAATAAGAAGCTCAAGCACTTGAAGTTACCAAATACATTGGGCTAGTTTGGCCGTATATACGTGATCTTCTTGTGTCAGCTAGCTGTCGCTTCCTGTTTAGAGGCCAAAAGGGTTTTTGGATTGCAAAACAACACGTGTTGTTTTCTATGTTCTGTCAAGAAATCTTTCACCTGATGAGTTCAGACATATGACCATTCAATTTGATCTGTCTTGTCATAAGACTCTACCAACTAACCTGGTAAAGGATAGGAAGGGTTCTGTGAACCTGACAAATGGTCAAGCAAGTGTTTTCCTTTGACTAAAACTGGTGAAGTAAGGGAAACATTCTGGCTGCCTTGCAGAGGAAACCCTGATAAGAGTACGTTTTCTACTTTTGAAGCACCTCTTAAAGGTTTTCACACAGTAAGGAGCGTCATACTGCACTCTGGCTGTTTTCATCAGCAGTCCAAAATAACAGCTTACAAGCAAAACTATGGAAAGAATTTGAAAAGGTGTTCTTGCATTTTAAATAATGAAAGGAAAGAGGGAAAGACGAGTTCTGCTTAGTAGGTCCTAGTTCTAAACTGGTTTTCTACATATTTCTGTGTTTGTGTGCATCTTTCTGTTTAATAAAGGTGTGAAAATATCAATTGTTGTAGAGATCTTTTTACATGAAAGTGATATTTTTAATCCTTCATTTAAAAAAAAAGCAGGAGTAAATTATTTCTAAACTATGGAAATAGAATTTGTGAAGAGGTTTGGATAGTAAGTCATCTTAGTGTTTAATAGTAAAAAGGACATGTTACTTCTACATTCATGTGAGCAAATACATAAAGATCAAATTCACGGTGTTTCTCTTCATGGAGGGCATACAGATGTAGAATTCCCTTTTTTTGTGTCACTCTTCTCTTTCTGATTATTTTCTAGATGCTAAAACCTGCAATGAAGTGGACCTGGAAAACTCTGTGGATTGGGAAGTGAAGACAATTACTAGTGCTATGAAGCAATATCTGCGGTAAGCCTGTCTCTCATTTATTTATTTTTTTAGGCTGTGAATTCTGTATTCTTGTTCTCCTATGCAGTGTGTTAAGCTACGTTACTTACTTTTCCTGTACTTTGGAATAGAGGCTCATTTTGTGCAAATACCAGGTTTGTTGCATGTCTTGGGGGGAAGCAAAATAATTTAGCAATACATACTCAGCTTCATCTGAGACAAGCTCCAAAACATTTTTGTTACATACGTAAGCGTCTGACTGATGGTTCAGAAACCTGAATTGCTAATAAACTTGCTGAGAGTTGTTACTGGCAGTCAGCTAAGATTGCCTTTTTGTCTCTTAATGTAGTAGAATGAAAAGGGTTATGAAATTGTTAATGTTTTCCTCTTTTCCTTCTGGCCCTTGCTTTGATGTTCTAGGTGCAATAGTAATATCTTGAGTGATAAAAGTAAGAATTTTAGATGTGTTCTCTGTTCAGATGTCTTAGTCAATTCCTGATCAAGGCATTGCAGTGAACTGCCTAAGAACACAGAACATAGAACTTTTTGTATCTCTTGTAGTTTAACACAAATACTTTATTTAATAAAAACATTTGATTAAAATACTGTTTTACTGCAACCACTGCCAAAGAATGCTGAAAAACTATTATCAAGATAAAGTCTCTCTTATGGAGTGCAAGAAAGACTAATTTAAGAACCAAAACAGCAGGAAAGAATAAAAAAGTGCACAGGATGAATTATTTCCCATCTGAGTGTTTACTCCTATTTTTCATAAGCATCAGTAAAGTCAACTTAATAAATGAAGGTTTCAACACTGATGTTTTAATTGTGATTTCCGCTTGTCATTGATGACTAAGGTTTTCAATTTCAATTTTTCCATTTGGCATACTTTAGAATTTTGATTGGTGAATGGCTACTGTTCAGCAAGCTTAACTGATTTAGGAACTTTACTTCTTCTCTGTAAGGCATTGACTTGTGTTTCTTTTTATTTTAAAACACTAATGAAGAATTAATTATGTAGTATACGTGTACAGTCTTCGTCTGAAACAGTCTAGGTGGTGTAATTTGGAGAAGTGCCTTATGATATTATTGGAGGCATCACTTCAGCTCATGGAAAGTGAATGGAATGTATTTAGTCCTATTTTCCTGATAATACCAAGTTTTCCGTTTGCTCTGGAAATTGTTGAATTCAAGGGCCGCCGTAACAACAGGTGCCTCCAGTACGGGGATTATAGTAGTGAAGGTTAAAAAGGTTTCCTGCTAAGAGTAAATACAGATAGAAAAGAATATAGCTAAATTTATGGTGTCACCCTTGTTTTACAGAAGCCTTCCGGAGCCGCTGATGACGTACGAGTTACATGGAGAATTCATCGTTCCTGCTAGTAAATATATGACTGTAGTTCACATAGAAATATCTTATTACAGTACTGTTGTGGCCTTAGGAGCATACTGAAAATGCAGTTTCAAAAAAAAAAATCATGAACTCAGTAAAAATATAGGAAGAAGAAATACTAAATGTTTTAAAAATACTTAGATTTTAACCAGTGCTCAGTTCTAGTATGTGTCACATATGACATATCTGTTGACAGACAAGGTTATGACAGACATCATAGTGCTATTTTTACTTTTATGGAAATACTTTTGGATAGACATTCATTCTTATTATCTTAATTATATAATGATAAACATCTACTTAAATTGTGATTAGGGTTTTTTTCTTCCATTTATAAAGAGTATGAAGCTTAGTAAAAGAAAATACACTAATTTGGGCTCATTTGAATCCTTAAAGCACAGCTGCCTGACCCTTGTTTTCAGTGCCTTGTTAGCTCTGTATCCAGCCTGGCTTGAATGTTCCTCATATATTAGCAGAAAAAATGGAAAGAGCAGGCTAGATTACACTATGGCAGTTCAAATACAGACTTGGAGAAGACACAAAAGCATTTGTAGTTCAGCTGTATGGTATCTAATGTACATGGAATTTTTTTGGAAGAGGATGGAGGGAAACTGTGAGAAAATTTTTGGCAAAATATCAAACAGATATTTAGCTGATTTTCTTTCCAGCCTGTAGCACTTCTGGCAAACTGTAGAAAGCAAAATTAAAATAAACTTTGAGACAATTGCTTTATCTCCTTTGGATTGCTATATTGACTTTCCAGGACTGCAGAATGTGTTCAGTTGAGATCCTTACTTCAAAATGAAAATTAGTCCATGAAATTCATTGCCAAAGCACATCTTAGTGGCCAACTGCTTAAACAAAATTCAGCATACTTACCTAGACGGTGACTCTGCCCGTTTGTATTGGAAAGTGTTAAAATACTTTCTTGACCTATGAAGTTTTGCCAGCAATTTCTTGCTTTATTTTCCTTTCTCTATTTTATAGTCCCTTTCAATAAAGGAATTCAGTTGAAGTTACATGTTTCAAATAGTACAGCGTTCATAAGTAGTAAACAGTTTTGTAGAGGGATTAATTCTATGTTGTGAGGAAAGATATTTAATCAACATTGCAGATCTAAGTTATGGTGTACTTAAAAATAGGTAGTTGGTGTTGTTTCTTATGTTGGCTATAAAAAACCAACAGCACCAGGAATAGTAAGGAATATCCTCTTCTCTGGAACTATTTTCTTTTTGTGGGGGGTGGGTGGGTAGGGCAGGGGAAGACAATATTTAAAGGTTGTCCTTTCAATTTTCTTTTCTTTATAAATATCAGTGTAGATTGAATCTATATAAGCCTTGATTGCATCTTGTTAATAAGTTGCTTAGACATTCTTTAAAGCCAGACTATTTTCTTTAAAGCAAAACTATTTAACCTATATGTGAAATCACAAACTTTAATTAAAGAAGGCTTAGTTTTTTTTCTGGCTGTCTGAACTTTGATTAGCTGACTACAAGCTAAACGTTTTTGCATTTGGTAGCCTTTTTTCTTGCAGTATGTATAGGACTGCACACTACAAACTAATAACAACCCTGAAGTCTGTAGCAATATGCAAAGACAAAAAAGAAAAACCTGTAGGAAAATGCACTGAAGAAATACCGTGGTATTTTATATGAAATACATGTAACAATCTAAGTTTCCTTAAAGAAAAACGGGACTTGATGAATGGTCTTGGTGTCAGAATGTCTAGCATTCAGACCAAGTTCTAAATTCTGCTCTTTATGTATTTTGTCCTAAGTGTTATTATATACAAGAGCAATACTTCCATCCCTCTCATGGTAGCCACTACTGAGACATAATTCTGTGGTTTAATATGACTTTGAGAAATAGGAAGTGGGATTATTTTAATCTTTTACAGATTCTTGTTTTCTTCTGTGTACTAGTGAAACCCGTAGGGGCCAAAATTATTCAGTTCATCACACAACACACAAAAATAAAGAGCCCCTTGCTTATTTTTACTTGATTTCTGTACTGTACTAGAGAGGGATGCCATTGTTATTCAGGGCCCTTTATTTTAGTAATCTCACTCAGTAGGGTTTTTGCATGATTATTCTTCTGTCTTCAGAGGTCACTATATTTTCTCTTTCTGAGTATATAAATCTTCTGCATGCATTGTCTTATCACAGATTCATAGAACAGTGTGGGTTGGAAGGGACGTTAAAGACCATCTAGTTCCAACCCCCCTGCCATGGGCAGGGACACCTTCCCCTAGACCAGGTTGCTCAAAGCCTCATCCAGGCCTGGCCTGGAACACTTCCAGGGATGGGCATCCACAGGTTCTCTGGGCAAAGGTAGCATATATGAAGTGTCATTAGCTGCGTAGTACCAACAAAGGTAAATTCTAATGAAGAGGACAATCGGTTAATGATGCTAAAACGTTAAGTAGTACAGTTCCACCCTGTGGCAGCCAGTAACATCCCTCCTCACCTTGCAGTATATTCATGAGCAGATAAGTCCCATGCAGGAAAATAGTAACTACATCTGTCGGTATTAAAAATAGATGAACAAAGGCATCCTTTTGCAGGTGGATTGAAAGATGAGTTCACAAAATAAGCAAATAAGTTGAGAATTCTAGAACGAGATTACTTGTGAAAACAAAGCGCATATGTTCAGTATTGCTATGTTGGGAGATACTTAAATGGTGAAGCAAAGTGTGTGCAATATGTTTACATGAAGAGGTGGGAGAAGCTTTGTGTTTCTGTGGATTTTATTTCATTTTTATTTTTTGAGATATTTATTTCTATGTCCCATAGAAAGTGGGAGTCCTGAATCTCGAGTTAATGCTGTTCACTTCTTGGTCCATAAACTCCCAGAAAAGAACAAAGAGATGCTGGAAATTTTGGTGAAACATTTAGCGAAGTAAGTGTTATGACCTGCTTTCCTAGCTTGTCCGAACTCTTGTCCTTGCCTTTGTTTAACTACAAAGGGCCTTAGTTAAGTGTGGCTGGAGCAGAAGCCCATTGCAGTGCTGTTGTGCACAATACCAAGAATCAAACGTGCAAAAGCAGACAAGATGTTTGACTCGTGCTGTGTGTATTTTGGCGGGAAAGGCAGAAATCTAATCCGTTAATGAAGCCGTATAAGTATTTACTTTAGCAGTCCTGCCAGCAGTTGAGGGTTTGATTGAAGTGAGAAAGGGAACATTATACTTTCTTTTCACAAATTCTGGCAAAGTGAATAGTGGAGATCTGTTAGCAAATTTAAGTTGGTTTCACACTTGCCCTGGTCCAAGGCTAAGTGCATTTTACATATTTAAGTTCAGTAAGAGACCGCTTTTGTTTTTAAATTGCCAGTGGAAGAATGGCTTTTCTGTTTTGCAGAGTTCAGTAAGACTTTATTTGAAGAAACTTTGCACAAAAGAAACTCCTAAAACATAGGTTAAGGAAACGTGTTGTTTTCATTTTTAAGACTGCAGTTTCCAACAGTAATGGAAATTTTTCATAACCTATTTCCTGTTTTTTCCTTCAATTCTTTTCAAAAAGTGTTTCAAAGCATGCCAAAAGGAATCTAATGACTGTGGCAAATCTAGGGGTAGTATTTGGACCAACCTTAATGAGGCCACAGGAGGAAACTGTAGCAGCCATTATGGACCTGAAGTTTCAGAATATTGTCGTCGAAATCCTGATAGAAAATCACGAGAAGGTAAGCTCTGATACATCTCCACGTTTCTGAGCGTTGTCTAAAATAGTCTGCTAGGCTTAAAGGGTGGTATGGAGTTAAGTATGGTGTTACAAATAGCTTAATTCTGAAGAATATACTCAATACACAGTACGCTTTTGGGTCTTTATACTGGGTAAGTATTCCTGTTCATAGATAAACTGACATTTCAGAATGCATGTTTCCTGGCAATAGCAGTGCTTCTGTGTGTATAGTACACAAATAGATTTTCATTATGATACTTGCTTATGTGTTTTTCTGATCAGAAGTGATACAGGGCTGGAAAAGAGAAAGCCCAGGCTAAGTTTTTAGCTCTTCTGTTAAGTACTTTAACCATGGTCTGAATTCATTGTTCTGTGTCTTCATTTTTCTCAGAGTTTACTCTTGGGGGGAAGGAAAAAAAAAAAAACAGGGAATTACGGGAGAGCCAGATATTAATATTTCCTTTGTTTTCAGCTTAATGTGTGGGTTTTTTAAAGCCTTTTCTCTTGAAGTAATACTGAAATTAGAAGTTGCCACTGATTCTGTGGCAGCTGCCAGTTACTAAGGTGTCTTTACACGTAAGAGGTACTGTCCCGAATATCACCACGTGTAACATGGGATATGAAATTAAAAAGCAGACAAACAAACAAAAAGCCCTATACTGGTCTCTTTGTACTGCTTGGGGAATCCCTCATGCCTAAGCTGACTTTTGGAACTGGCTGTTTCAGGTACTTTGCTTGTACTGGGAGGATGGGCAGCATCTCCCTCGCTCTTATTGTCAGAAAGGTTCTTTGGTAAAACTCCAGGGTGTGCTTTTTCCTCTCTTCTTTTTTAAGCACTCTGAGCATTGAAATAGTTACTTCTTTTAAAGGTTAACAGTGTTGAAATTGGCTATCTAAGTCAGGTCTTATCTACTCTAAATAAAGACTGTCTCAAGTTTTTCTGACTTTGTAATTACACTACCTCCCTGAATGACACAGGCTGGGCAGAGCTTCTGTTGGCATAGCTGTATCCACATGGTGGGTTTTGTTGGCTTAGTTGACTTAGGGTGTAATTCTGTCCTCACACACACATTGAGCAGGTACCGTGTTGTTCTGTTGGAAAAATACTGTGTGGCAGCTGTGGCTCCAGTTCTAGGCGATAAATATCCCGAGAGCTGTAAGCCATGCTATTCGTTTTGGACCTTACAAATGAAAGTAAGCCTTGCAGTAACCTCATGATTTTGAAGCTATTGCAGTGACCACACGAACTGAAGAAGGTGGAAAGAGAGAGTGAGCAGAGCCTGGGTGTTTTAATAACATGTTGAGGTTGAGCTACGCTTACTCGAATCGCTAGATCACTGTGGATTAGCAACATCTTATTCTTATGCTCAGTCACATGTTTTTAAAAACTGGACATCAATTCCATGCTTGAAACATTAGTTACAGTGGCCTTTCTTGCTCCTCTGAAAACATAGAGGAGCAGGGAATGGAAAGTACATCAAAATGGTACTGCATGATTTTCCATAAGTCCTTGTTTTTATGCCGTCTTTAGAACTAGAAGGCTATAATTTTTTTAAAGGGATTTCTGTCATTTCACTGTAATTTCTAACAGTGAACTTGCCATCAGTGGTCTGCCTGCAGAAACCTCTCCCACACTAGAGCTGCTTCTAAGGTGGAAGGAACCCCCAAGTGTGACCTCTGTGTATTTACTGCAAAGGCAATGGAGAGCTGTGTGTTAAGGAATTACAAAAATTTTATAGTGGAATGGAATATGTTGCTTTTACAAGTGAGCCTTCTTCATTTATGGCAGACAAGGACCTGCTTTTAATGGCAAGCAGGCTTATTGTCAGTCCTAATGTTCATTTTATATTGTTTTGAATTTCTGTGTATGTCAGGCTTTCGAAGAGTCTTGTGTTAAGTATTTTTATTTTATAGCTCTGGGGAAGTCCTAGGAAAAGTCACAAGCTGTGGGTTAAAGTACCTTCAAATGTTTCATTCAGCCTCTTCTCTGCCTGTGCTAATTTTTAGCAGCTTCTGCTAATTGAAGTTTGGAATTGTAGAAGCGTGCTGGAGTCAAGATGGAGGTGCGCTTGACACAAACAGGCTTGAAGCAGCACTTCACACTTCGTGTGTGTAATTTATGGCTCTGGCAGGCTGCAGAGAGACGTTTCTTTTTCCCTGTAGCAAATGAAATGACTGACAAACTTTCAAACTCAAGAAGCAATAGCGATCAACATTTCTGGTTTAAACACATTAAGTTGGTAGGCAAAATGGTAAAAAAATTGTTATAATTCCTCAAATAATTGTAAAATTCCATCACCATTCTTTGTCTTGTGTGGATAGCATTACTGGAGATCCGCAATTCCTTTTTAGGGAGAGAGACAATTAATTGGGTTACTAGCTTTGAAATCCCAGTGCAGTTATTGCACTGTCATCACTCTGCTGAGGAATTTTTATGCAACTTGTGTGTTGAAACCTGGATATGGGGACTTGCCCTGAGATAGGAATATCATGTTTAGTGCGTAAGATGGTTTTTTTAACACGTTGGTGATATGTACATTTATTTCCTGCTACCTAGGAACGTGTCAGTACCACTTTCATGTTGTTTACAGGCTGCATACATACTTCCCAACTATGGCTGGGAACCAATTATATTTAGTAGGTTGAAGAAGGGATGTTTTTGCAAAATCAAACCAATGGACTTGAATGCTGGAACTATACTAGACTGTGCAGGCTGATGTGTCGCTTCACTGGCATTAGAATTGCACAATGGTTAAGACTGGAATGGAGATAGATGAGCATTAGGGAAATAATCGTTTAGCTTTTGATCTTGTCAGTTATGGGTAAGGTTCTGCCAGGCAGAGTATTTCTCAGTGTCCAGCCAGAGTGGAAGCAGATCTCTACTTGGAAAGAAAAAGCAAAAACTAGATCCAGTCTGAGACAATATCTTCCCCAGGACCCCGAAAACCACCTGCTGTGTGAAAGGGGAGGCCAGTCCAGAGGAGAATGGGACCTGTGAATTGTCTTGCTTTCTTCTGTCATATAGCGGTAGGGGAAGGCCAGCCAGATATGCCAGGCCAAGTTAGGAGCATGTTCAGGTTTGATATTAAATGACCTCTCTATAGTTTTGCCTGGAATTACCATGTTTTGTGCTGACTGTGTGCACCAGCACTCTTGTTTCCCTTTGCTTTGTAGGCCTTTAAGGTCAGCCTCATTTCATATTTGGCTGTCTTGCCCCCTTTTCCCTTGCCCTACCTGTCTGGTATCCCTTGATTTTTCCATGTCCCATATCCTTCCCATCTTTAAGCATCAAGAAATTAATGATTGTGTCTCCTCATTGTATTCATTTTGCTTTGCAGCTTTATCTTTCCTTGGTGTTCCTTTTCTTGAGGTAACGAACTCAGGGGCTGACTGCAGCTGTGCTTGCACAATCCTGGAACAATCTTTGCTTGGCCTTTAGGTAATCCTCTGATGAAAAGTGGTAGTCAACTTCAACCAAGAAAAAAAAAAGTTTTGATTTCTCTTCTTTTCGTCCCCCAAATGAGTTTCAAGGGTATAAGTTAGTTTTTCTTCCCAAGGGTTTCACAGACTGGCAATCTTGGATATCTCAGCTCTTCTGGTCTTTGTTTCTGACTTGCAGTGAGGAAGAAGGGCAGGGCATTCCACAACAGCACAAGAAGTCTGCACGTGTTCATCTTGCTGTTTGTTAGTGTTTTGGCATCTTGTTGGAACAAACGTCAGTATTCAAAGGACTTATTTGCCATTTAGCGATACGTCAGTGGTAATGTGAGCCATTTCGGTTTCTCAATTCCCTGAACTATATTTTAAGGTGTGGGGGGGAAACCCAGGATAAAAAAAAAAGAAGTCTAAGAAATTAAAAGATGAGTGAGGCGGTTGGAATAAAATTCTCAGTGGGACTGGAATATTTAAACCAGCATATGGGGGAGGAAAGAATAGTGAGTGCAAGTAGCATGATTGCAAAAACAGAAAGAAGATGAAAATTACAGTGGGAAAAAAATTAGAAGGAAAAAGAAAGAGGCTAGACACAAGAATCTTAGGGAGACTGGGAAACCAGAGTCCAATGAAAGGGAATGGGCATGGTAAAAGATACTTTTTCTGGGTTTCAGACAACCTATGAGCAAAATTATCTCAGATCTTCATTTGGAAGAACTCAATAGTTCCCATATATGAGACTTACTTTTTTGCTTGTTTTCTGTATTAATTTTTTTATAAGAGGGCAAAGATTTTATTTACTTTAGACAAAATATGGCCTTGTTTTAGATTTGTTTTCTTCAAAACAATTTTATGGAGAAATCTTCTTTCTATGAAATATAAATGTTTTAATTTTTCTTACTTCAGGCACTTTTATGACTCTCTTTTTTCAAACTATAGGGAGGAGAAGAATTTAATATTACTGAGCTCTTAAGCCAACATCAAGTTCATGTAGTAATACGTTGAAAATCTTTAGTCTTCAAACGTATTACAGTGCATCATACAGGCAGTATTAGCGGGACAGAAGGAATGGAAGCGGGTGAAGTCAGTTGTTTGTTACAAAGTATGGACTGGCACGTGTCTCCACTTGGCAATCCCTGCATGTTTGAAGTAGTTCTGCTGCAGGTAAATGCTTTAGGGTATCGTGGCACTGCCATCATCTAAACTAAGACTTTTCTGACAAGGCAGCAGATCTTTTGAAGTCCTGGTAAAGGGACATATGAGAAATACTAAAGAGGGCTTGTTTCAGCTTTTGTGTTGCTTTGCCTTTGGCTGCAATGGAAGACCTAGAAGCAATGCGTTGTAATTCTGATGGTTTGCTGTAGTGTAGCAATGTGAAACCTCCCCAAGCTGAACGTTTCCCAAGTCCACAAGCTTTTGACATGAAAGGGGGGAAAAGTTACGTTAAGGCATCTCCATTCTGGCAGAGTTTGCAAAGAAACACATGAGCTTCAGTTCAGGAAAGTGCTTATCTTTAAGCACATAGCTAATCAGAAGTGTCACTGAAACTGTACTTAAATTAATCGATTG